TCCTGTTGCATTGTCTTTGTGGGGATCAGGGGCTTTGTGAAACAACTTGTGTTTGGAAACTGAGAGTGACTATGACTCTCCTTTGTGGTTATGGACCTCAGGTTTTAGGCTACCAGGTCTAGGGTTTCTCATGTTTTTAGATCAAGTAATATTTTAGTTGGCTGACTTTTAATTTTGTTCCTTAGATATAATCATGTTCAGTTAAATACTTCTAAAGATCTCTGGAGGTTGAAATCTTCTGATTGCTGCATTTTGTCTCTGTTGTCTGTTAACATAATTGTTCCCACCTTCTTCTTACTAAATTCTGCCATTTGACCTCAACACTCTGGCATCTCATCATGCCCATTAGGGAGGCTTATTCAGTGGTTTCATCTCCCCATGTCATTCCCAATCCACAGAAGACAGCCTCTACAGTTTTTTTTAAGAAGGCAGACACTTTTACAAATAAATGTATTTCTGAATGCTTTAGTGCAATGTCCTCGTCCTCTGGGACCTCATGGGTGATGTACTAGGAAGATATATGTATGTTCAGACTGTACATGGTAATCCACTTAAGCTTTATTTTTCTAAGCATCTGAATTTCTTCTACATTTTGCCAGGAAAGTTTGGGCATTTCATCCTTATTAAATGTAGACTCCTTTGGGACTTAAGTTTCAGTCAACAAGCAAACTATTAGAGGTACTTAGAGCTGCTTAAGCAAACATGTTATATTTGGCCCTACCCAAACTCTTTTGGTCAAATTCGCTTCAAATTGATTTCCTTGCCTGTTCCCTAGGTTTTTACTGATATAATTTATCAAAATTTTATAATTATTTTTGGATTTAAGCCCTCGCTCAGTTAAAACACTGTACTTACTTTCTTGGAGCCTACCTCAATTTGATTTTAGAGGCAAGAAGGAATGGTGGGGGTAGGTTTTGAGAATAGGCATCCCTTTTCAAGGCAATGGTCTCAAGTAAGATCATTACTAGTTTTCAACAAGAGGAGGCTAACTTTAGTCATGTCTCTGCTTACAAAAGAGGTTCAGAAGGACACCATGGATTCAAGATTGTAACCTTCATCTGAACCCATTTGGGTATCCCTATTCCATATTTTAGGATCCCACTCCTTTGAAAACTGTGCTGTAATTTTCACAGAAGAGATTTAGGAAGTATATATATTCAACTTTCACTATAATTATGCAAGCTGCAAAATTAAATTTTGTGTGTGATTCTCAGCAGGATCATACCTGTGGTTATAGGAAATAAGAAAGTGCTACTTCAGAAGTTCTATAGCTTTCTTCTCATGGCTTGAACTGAAAGTTAATAACCCTAAGTGTGTCATTTTCTTCTGTTAAGCTTTCCATTAGATTCAGAAGCAGCCAGCTCCTAGTCTTTATTGTCATTACTATCATAATGGCCAAGTGCAATAGCCATTTGGTCCCCTTAGGCACTTGTTTTAATAGGCATGTGATCATAATGAACTGTAAGTGATAATGTAATTAATCATTATGCCAGTGCATGACTTGGATCACTAGCATCTCATTTTCCATTGGCAAGGAGCTCAGCAGTGTATTGAAGGTCAAGGACATAATCAAGCCAATTCCTGAATTTTGTTTCCTGTGATGCCTCCATTATCAAAAAAGAAATGGGTATTTCAACAAAGGGAATTTAATGTAGGATTGGTTACACAGGTGTGGAACAGTAAAAAAGTAAACTGAAAAAACTTTGATAAAATAACTGCTTCAGGAAGTCAGCACTCTTAGGTCTAGGTCAAAGGGATTAACAGAACTTTGAAGCTCAGAGGAGCCCCTTGGATCCGAGTGAGGATTAGGCCACTGTGGAATGCATACTGTTTAGCTGCTACTGGTATCTGAGGAGATGTCAAGAAACTGGTTATATGAATGCCGAAAAAAGCAGGAGACTGAAAGCTACAGGATGGTACTGATAGAAATATATGCAAACAGGAAGAAGGAAGTCTTTCCTTCTCTCCTCACAAATAATCCCTAGCTAGTATCCCCTATATGCAGAATCTATTAGGGAAACATATGCCAAAATAAATAGAATTTTGGAGAATGCTAGCACCAGCATCACAGTATAGACTATAGAAGAATGAATTTGGGGGTGCCTGGGTAGCTCAATCAGCTTCCCGACTCTTGGTTTCAGCTCAGATAGTGATCTCATGGTTTGTGGGTTTGAGCTCCATGTTGGGGTTTGAGCCCCATGTTGGGCTTTGCACTGACAGCGTGGAGCCTACTTTGAATTATTTGTCTCCCTCTGTCTCTGTCCCTCCCCTGCTCGCACTCTCTTTCTCTGTCAAAAATAAACATTAAAAAAAAATATTTAAAAGAAGAATGAATTTGGAGTTAAGCAAACAGTAAGTCAGTGACCAGCCTATTAACTTCAGCTATTTTGCCGAGGTTCTGAGAAGTTGTGACAAAATTTAGAGATACTAAGTAACCTTACACAACATTCTGTTCGTAGATATTTAGGAGCTCAATTTGAATTCCAACAGTTATAGTCTTTCCTGCTTTGGTCATTTTCTTTTCCATGTCTTCCTTCTAAGATTACTTTCCTTGAGCTTAACAGCTGGGAGTTTTGGGTTTTGTATTTGCATCAGTGATTACTAGAGTATCTTAACTCTGAGATCACACTTTTTTGGCCAGGACCTACAATGAGGAATGCTTGGAATCCAAAACACACATATGCAAATATGTATCAGAATCAAAAAGTTTAGGAACCAATACTTGGTCCTAACTATTAAGTGCCACATGCTGATAATTTGTTTCCTATCCTGTTCTTTAAAAGACTGATCACACAACTCACTAAATCAATTTTGTATTATAAATTTGGTTAACACTAATCAAAGCAATAGTGTGAAGTAAATGTAATTTTTTTTTTCCTGACTTGAATGAATACTGCTTATTTGTGTGTTTTTAGTCATTCTTGGTCCTGTTCAGGTTGCCAGTCCATTGTTTTTCCTCAAATTTAGGGTGAGAAAAAAGATGTTTTAGAATAGAGCTTGTGAGCTTGTAGTTTTTGTGGTGGAACATATATACAATAATGTATCAATGGAAGCATTCCTTATATTCCCTTCTTTCCTATTCCTCCCAGCAATGGGGGAAAAAGTGGCTATATATGATAAATTGAGAGAAAAACCAAATCATTTAATAATTATTTCTTTACTTACTTGTTAAATATTTAAGTACCTTCTCTGTGAATTCTTGAGCTCTAGGCAGAAAATATGGCCATTAAAAACACCAATGGGAACTTTGCCCTTGTGGAACTTATATTCTACGGGGGTCTTAAATGTCAAATGATTAATACCAATTATAATTGTTGGTGGTGAGGAATTAGAACCAGTCTAAGGTAGTGAAACATGCTCTGAGTTGAAAAATGTTCAATCTGAGATATGTATGAATATAATTAACTAGAAGAAAGATGGAATATAGGGATGAGATGGGAAGAATATTCTTAGAAGGAATAGTGTGTGTTCCCCCATGAAATGGGAAGGATCAAGGTAAGATGGAAGAAATAAAAGGCTGTTGTGGCTATTAGCATAGAGAGATGGAGATAGCATAGCAAGCTAAGGATGGGAAGGTAGATAGGATATGGATCATACAGGGACTTATATGCCTCTTTAGCTCTGTATAAAGACCAGAGGGGAGTATCGAAGAAAAATGATATTAAGACATTTCTGTCTTTAATTTCATTTTAGTGGTGATCTGGAATGACATGCAAAGGAGCAAGGGGTACATAGACATTAGGCTTTTGCATCAAACCATACATGAGGTGCTTGTGACTTGCCCCAGGGTGTCAGCTTCAGAGGGGAAAGGTGGATGACTTATGACTTAAGATGGTGTCAAGGATAATGCCAGGAGTTTCTGGTTGGGTGGCTAACGTGAGGAATAATGGAAGGAGGATCAGGCTGGGGGAGACATTAAGGAGTTAAACTTTGGATATATGGAGTTTGAGGTTTGAGATCTTACTAGACACCAGGCATTGTGCTAAGCTTTTCATATGTTTACCTGATTTAATCCCTGCAAATATAATTAATTTTCCCATTTTACAAATGAGATGACTATTAAGTGGGCAGAGCAAAGATTTTATTTTTAAGACTTGAACGTGTTTAAATGTTATTGAGAAGAATCCAGAAGAGGAGATGTTGAAGATACTAGAAAGGAAAAGCATGATCCATAATGCAAAGCTATTAGAAGATGGTTTTAGATTTTGTATAGATAGAATGATGTCTCCTCTGTTTTATAGAAAAAAAAGAGTACATATGATGGGTAGTTTGTGGATTTGATATCAGAAAGGTAAAGGAATTTCCTCTTGATGGCATGCATCCGTTTTCTCTGCACAGTAGGAAAAAAATCATCTTTTAAGATTGAGGAGTGCAGGGCACCTGGGTGCCTCAGTTCATTAAATGTCTGTCTCTTGGTTTTGGCTTAGGTCCTGATCTCACGGTTTTGTGAGTTTGAACCCTGAGTCGGGCTCTGCTCTGGCAGCACAGAGCCTGCCTGGGTTTCTCTTTCTCCTTCTCTGTCACTGCCTTCCCAACTCGTGCTGTCTCTCTCTCAAAATAAATAAATAAACTTAAAAAAAAAGTTTAAAAAGACTGAGGAGTGTGATAGGGAGAATGGAAGTTTAAGGATGGTAAAGTTATGAAATAGTTTTGTGGAAAGTAGAGTTAATGAATTAAATAATGTGCTTCAGTGAATAAATGAAAGTGAATGAAGACACTGTTCTTAATTCATAGAAACTAAAATAATGTTTTACTAACATTATTAACAACGAGGCAAAAACCTGATTAAATGCTAAATGATATGTATGATACTGTTAATAGACATAGAAAGTCAAGGATGGGAGGGAGAATAATGTGGCCTTCAGTCACTAGGAAAGATTTTATGGAGGAAGTACAACATAAGATAGGAAGATCAACACTAGCCAGGAATGGAAATGGATCCTTAGTGGTAATTTGTAATGATTTGGTTGATGATAATCCTTTTTATGTCAATATTTCAGTGACTATGGAGGTGAGACCATACCAGGACCTGCATTTGATCCAACAAGTCACCCAGCTTCAGCTCCCGCTCCCTCTTCTTCTTCAGCATTTCGACCTGTAATGCCATCTAGGCAAATTGTAGAAAGGCAACCTCGGATGTTGGACTTCAGGGTTGAGTACAGAGACAGAAATGTTGATGTGGTACTTGAAGACAGCTGTACTGTTGGTAAGGTTTTTCCTAACATAAAGCCTTCATAAATAGTTTCTTAGGTAAATATTTCATTTATATCCTTTTCTTTTGAGTTGACTGCCAATAAGAAGGGAGAGAGAGCAAATTGAAACTGATATTTTCCATACAGATAATTATGCTACATTTTAAAAAAAATTTTTTTTTTCAACGTTTTTATTTATTTTTGGGACAGAGAGAGACAGAGCATGAACGGGGCAGGGGCAGAGAGAGAGGGAGACACAGAATCGGAAACAGGCTCCAGGCTCCGAGCCATCAGCCCAGAGCCTGACACGGGGCTTGAACTCACGGACCACGAGATCGTGACCTGGCTGAAGTCGGATGCTCAACCGACTGCGCCACCCAGGCGCCCCAATTATGCTGCATTTTTAAAACACTGTGTTGTGGGGCGCCTGGGTGGCTCAGTCGGTTGGGCGGCCGACTTTGGCTCGGGTCATGATCTCGCGGTCTGTGGGTTCGAGCCCCGCGTCGGGCTCTGTGCTGACGGCTCAGAGCCTGGAGCCTGTTTCGGATTCTGTGTCTCCCTCTCTCTCTGACCTTCCCCCATTCATGCTCTGTCTCTCTCTGTCTCAAAAATGAATAAAACGTTAAAAAAAATTAAAAAAAAACGAAACACTGTGTTGATATTGAGGCAAGTTTGAGAATAATTTTTTTGTTCCACTTATATGAAATAGTGTAAGATGTTCTTTTAGGGCAGATGCAAATCGAACTTTAAGTATATTGTGTATTGGACTTTATAGCTGAAATCCATTCATTTTTCATGTTATGGTTAATGAGAAATCAGAAATAAGACATAATACCCTTCTCCCTGCCAGCTTTTCAAAGGAAACTTAAAGTGTATGTGTGCCATTGTTGGACAGATTTTGCCAAATTTCTACAGAGAAACTGTTGAATTCACGTTTGATTCAGATTATTTGACCCATTACTGTAGTTTTGCCTAAAATCTAAATTCCAAATCTTTCTGAAATTTTGCCTTTGTTCTTTTTTAGGGAGATCTTTCCTAATTGTATTTAATTTTATTAATTGAAGTACACTACAGAGAAAAAGCTAAACTGTTAAAAGATTGATCATTCTCAAACACTAATCAGATTGTTATTCCCTTACTTAAAGCCATTTAGAGACTTCCCATTGGTTTAGGATAAAATTAAAGTCTTTTTACCATGGCCTATTAAGTCTCTGCTTGATCAGGCCCCTGTTCCATTTCTAATTTTCATCTGTTACCACTTTTGTCCTTGCTCACCATGCCTAAGTTCTTATGGACTTGTTTCAGTTCCTTGAATAGGTTATTAGATCCTTTGTACACATACCTTCTTCTGCCCAGATTTCTTTCCTAGTCCATCTATTTCTTCCCATACTCATTCCCATGCCCCCAGTATTCTCCTATAGATTCCTTCCCCTGCTCCCAAATTGTGGTAAAGTGCATAATATATCTATCCTCTTAAATTTTTAAATGTACAATATAGTTTTGTTAACTATATGTACATTGTTGTACAGCATATCTTGAGAAAGCAGAACTTTTTCATCTTGTATAATTGAAACTTTGTATCCAATGACTGGCAACTCCCCATTTTCCCCTTCTACCAGCCCCTGGCAACCATCATTCAACTTTCTGCTTAGATTACTTTGAATACTTTAAATCTATTCTAGAAGTGGAATCATACAGTATTTGTCTTTCTGTGTCTGGCTCATTTCACTTAGTATGATATCCTCAAGTTTCGTCTATATTGTAGCAAATTACAGGATTTTCTTCTTTTTTTAATGATGAAGAATATTCCATTGTATGTATATTCCACATTTTCTTTATCCATTTGCCCATCTGTGGACATTTAGGTTGTTTTCGCCTCTTGGATATTGTGAATAATGCTACAAGAGATTGCAAATATCTCTCAAGATTTTGCTTTTAATTCTTTTGGGTAAATACCCAAAAGTGGGATTGCTGGATCATGTGTGGTTCTATTTTTAATTTTCTGAGGAATGTTCATACTTTTATCATAATGGCTCCACCATTGTTACTTTTTTCATAATGGCCACACCATTTTACACTCCCATAATGAACAAGGGTTCCAATTTCTCCATATCCTTGCCAACACTTGCTATTTTCTGCTTTGTTTTTGTTTTATAATGGCCATCTTAACAGGTATGAAGTGATATCTCATTGTGGTTTGGGTTTGGATTTCCATGGTGATTAGTGATGTTGAACATCTTCTCATATACCTGTTGGTAATTTGTATGTTTTCTTTGGAGAAATACCTATTCAAGGCCTTTGCCCATCTTTAAATCAGGTTATTACTTTTTTGCTGTTGGATTGTAGGATTTCTTTATATATTTTGAATATTAACCCCTTATCAGATATATGCTTTAGAAATATTTTCTCCAATTTTGTAGGTTGCCTTTATATTTATATTCATTGTTTCCTTTGCTGCACAGTTTTTTGTTTAATCTAGTCCCACTTGTCTATTTTTACTTTTGTTGTCTATGCTTCTGTGTTATATCCATGAAATCATTGCCAAGACCAATGTTAATGAAGCTTTTGCTTTATATTTTCTTCTATGAGTCTTATAGTTTCAGATCTTATGTTTAAGTCTATGGTTTTGTTTTTTTTTTTCAAAATTTTATTTAAATTCTAGTTAGTTAACATCTAGTGTAATATTGGTTTCAGGAGTAGAATTTAGTGGTTCATCATTTACATATAATAGCGAATGCTCAACACAACGTGTGCCCTCCTTAATACTCCTTACCCACTAGCCCATGCCTGCCTACCTCCCCATTTTGAGTTAGCTTTTGTGCATGGAATAAGATAAAGGTCCAATTTCACTCTTTCACACATGGATATCCAGTTTTCTCTACACTGTTTGTTAAAGAGACTATCTTTTCCCGATTGTGTAGACTTGGCACTCTTGTCAAATCATTTGACATATATGTATAGATTAATTTCTGGGGTTGCTACCTGTTCCATTGGTCAATATGTTTTTCTCTAGGCCAGTACCATACTGTCTTGATTACTTTGTAAAATGTTTTGAAGTCAGGAAATATAAGGCCCCCAGCTTTATTCTTCTTTCTCAAGATTGTTTTGGCTACATAGGGTCCTTTGTGGTTCCATATGAATTTTAACATTGTTTTCTGCAAAAATGCCATTGGGATTTTGTTAGGGATCACATTGAATCTGTAGGTTGCTATGAGTAGTATGGTTATTTTAACAATATTAATAAGTTTTTCAATCCATGAACATGTGATGTCTTTTCATTTGTTTCGTCTTTACTTTCTTTTAGCATTGTTTTGTAGTTTTCATTGTGCAAGTCTTTTGTCTCTTTGGCTAAATTTATTCCTGTGTATGTTATTCTTTTTGATGCTACTGTAAATGAGATAGTTTTATTAGTTTCCTTATTAGATTATTTGTTGTTAGTGTATGAAATATAACTAGTTTTTGTATGTAAATTTTGTATTCCTGCAACATTGCCAAATTTGTTTATTAGGTCTAGCAGGTTTTTTTTTTTTAATAGGATCTTTAGGGTGTTCTACATATAATATCATCTGGAAACATAGATAATTCTATTTCTTGCTTTCTGATTTGGATCCCTTTTATTTCTTTTTATTGCCTAATCATTCTGGCTAGGACTTCAGATACTGTGTGGTATAGAAGTGGCAACAGTAGGCATTCTTGAATTGTTATGATCTTTAGAGGAAAAGTTTTTAGTTTTCACCATTCAGTATGATACTAGCTGTGGATATTTCATATATGGCCTTTATTATGTTGCAATAATTTTCTTCTGTTTCTAGTTTGAGTATTTTTATCATGAAATGCTGGAGAATTTTGTCAAATGCTTTTTCTGCATATTTTAAGATGATTGTGTAATATTTTTCTCTTCATTTCATTAATATGGTATATATCACATTGATTTCCATATGTCGAACCATCCTTGTATCACATGCATAAATTTCATTTGGTTATGGTGTATGATCTTTCTAATGTGCTGTTGAATTTGGTTTTCTAATATTTTGTAGAGGATTTTTACATCTATATTCATCAGGGATATTGGGTAATAGTTTTTGTTCTTGTTTTTGTAGTGTCTTTGTTTGGCTTTGGCATCAGGGTAATGTTGGCTTCATAAAATGAATTCAGAAGCGTTCTCTCTGCCTTAATTTTTGGGATGAGTTTGAAAAGGGTGAGGTTAATTTTTCTTCAGATGTTTGGTAGAATTCTCCAATGAAACCATCTGGTGCTGAATTTTTCTTTGTTGGTTTTTGATTACTGATTTTGATTATTTTTTTTTCTTTTAATGTTTATTTTTGAGAGAGAGAGAGAGAGCAAGCAGGAGCGGGGCAAAGAGAGGGAGGGAGGGAGAGAGAGAGAGAGAGAGAGAGGGAGAGAGGGAAATTAGGGGAGGGGCAGAGAGAGACGGAGACACAGAATCTGAAGCAGGCTCCAGGCTCTGAGCTGTCAGCACAGAGTCCAACGTGGAGCTTGAACCCCCAAGCTGTGGATCATGACCTGAGCCGAAGTAGGACACTTAACTGACTGAACCACCCAGGTGCCCTGATTTTGATTTTTTTTTTTTTTGAATACTCTTTACTAGTTACTGATTTTTTAAATTACTGATTACTCTTTACTAGTTATAGATTTGTTTGGATTTTCTATTTCTTTGTGATTCAGTCTTTGTAGTTTATATGTTTCTATGAATTTACCCATTTTACTAGGCTATCCCATTTGTTGGCATATAATTATTTATAGTAGTCTCTGTATTTATCTCTGCAGCATCAGTTGTAATGTCTACTTTTTCCTTTCTGGTTTTACTTGAGTCTTTCTTTTTTTTCTTAGTTTAGGGTAAAAGTTTGTCCATTTTTTTCTTGATCTTTTCAAGCCTCAACTCTTAGTTTTGCTGATTTTTTAAAATTGTTTTTCTATTCTCTTTTCATTTTTGCTCTAATCTTTATTATTTCCTCCCTTCTTCTAACTTTGGGCTTAGCTTGTTTCTGTTTTT